TTGCTGGGCAAATGTTTTGTAGCAACTGCTTTAAGGTACAGCCCATTCTCCTGGGAGTCACAGGGAGAGTGGAGTCTCCCAGGTTTTGGGGGGGGGGAAATACTTTGTAAGTTCTGTTCTTGCTATAGCTTTTTAGCAAATATACCTTTGCAAAAGCTAATTAATGTTAACTGATCAAATATGTCATTAATCCTCTTCGTGAACAAAGGATAAACAATAACAACATCCAGGGGACTGATCTTTGGAAGGTACCAATGACGTAAGGGAGATACTAACTATAACTGGTAAAATACACTATAATGGAGGTTCAAGCCCAAAACAGTGGAGGAAACCCCACTGCCCCTTCAGGAGTACTTCTAAAAACCTAAGGGAAAACAGAAATAACTAGCGTTGCCTCTAGGGGCCTCACCCCCAGGCTGGGGTCATAGGGATTGGTGACTTTTTCTAATTTTTGTAGTTTTCTCTGAATTCATTGCTTTGAGGTTGCCTATCTCCTCAACAAGGGACCTAGGATCTCTAGTGCTCCAATTCTACCCCCACCTCAGATCCTAAAATCAATTCTGTTTTTGCTGTAGTCTAAGGGGTCCTCACCAGTAGCTGAGTAAAGAGGTTGGAGTGGGGGGAGGTGGGAGGAAGTAAAAGTCACCCAAAGTATAAATATACATGAATCAGGTATGGTATGGAAAAGTGATTTTATTACTACACAGAAAGGATATTCTTTAAAGAAGAATTGTTACAGGATGAGTATAATCAATTGAGGGGATAATAGTCAGACATCTTGGTATAGGTGCAACAGGGCTACTTGTGACTATTTTCGATCTCAACTCCAGTGAGTACTGCCCTATCGATGCCAGGTGGGGTCCTGGTTTCAGTGGTTCTTCTCTCTTCAGGAGACTTCTCCCCTCTCAGCTGGTTCTCCTCTGCCATTACTTCTGCAGCCACTAATTCTAGTAGCCAATACCCCACTGCTCAGATAGCCTGATATGGGGGGAAGATGCCAGCTTCCTTTTGAGACATCACAATGCCCATGCCAAAAGAAAGGAAACACACAGTAGGAAGACCCATTCCTGAAACAGGATTGCTTAGATCATGTGCTTCTGGGGCTGGACCAGGGTGGGAGGAAGGGCATCCATTCCCCACTTAGCCTGTTGAGCTCAGAGAGTTGACTGCTTACCTTGAAGCAAACAGGAAAGAGAGGCCTGATGGACAGAGAATGTCCCTTTAGTAGATCAATGGAGTTTTGACTCAGTAGTTAATTAAAAGTCTCCTCATGGCAGACTGGAAGCAGTCAGAGGATATTTGTATCTGCTGTAAAATGGAAGTGGGGGGTAGAATCCCTTCATCATGCATCCCCAAGGGGGGGCATCACAGTTAAATTCCTCAAAATAAATGTTTCTTATAGTAAAATAATGTCCCATTTCATTCATATATCACAATTTGTTCAGACATTCACCAACCAGTGGACACCTACTTTTTTCTCAGTATTTTGCTACTACCAAAAAAAAGTGCTCCTAAAAATATTTTGCTGTATATTTGTAAGGTACTACATTCTGTACCTTTCGTATGTGAATGTTTCAGCTCTTCAAAGGGGTAGAAAAGATACATTAATGTATTGCAGTGGTACTTCTTTACTAAAAGAACTTAATACTGCTTCAGTGGCCTTAGAATAGTGGCTTCATCCAGCAGAAGAGATGAGAGGTTCAGAAAGGGATTGGGTGACATGTGATACAGACTGTTTCCTAAAGGAGACCACTGGCATTCTGACCTGTAGTTCATCGTCGTGAGTTGTCTCAAGCATTTCCCCACTTATGTAACTCCCCATGGATACCATGCGATGCATTGGTGGGAGAATGTAAGCCAGAGTTCTGAGTAGATTATTATATTTTGATTATTCTTGCTATTGCTATATGTTAAGTAAGCGATATGGCTATTCTTGCTTTTGACTTCTAATTTAATAAATGTTTCATGTTTAAGAGTCAATGTCTCACTATTCAACAGCAACAAAAAAACTATGGGGAAAACCGGAAAGCAATCTGGCAGAAATTAGATTTAGATCAACACCTTATACCATATACCAATAAAAGCACAAAATGTATACATGATTTAGATATAAAAGGTCACCTCATAAAAAAATTATAGGAGTAAGGAAGACATTTCCTTTCAGATTTTTAGATAAGAGAAGAGTCCATAACCAAACAAAGGATAGAGAGGATCACATTTTGATTACATAAAATTAAAAAGTTTTTGCTTAAACAAGATCAACATAGCTAAAATGAGAAAAGAAATCGATAACTAAGGGAAAAAAAGAAACTTTACAACAAGTTTCTCCGATAAAGGTCTCATTTCTAAGACATATAAGTAATTGATTTAAATGCACGAGTAAGAACCATTCCCTGTTTAAAATTTGTAAAGTATATTAATACGCAGTTTTCAAAGGAAGAAAGCCAAGCTATCAGGAGCTATGTGATAAAAATGCTCTAAATCATTAATAATTAAAGAAATCTAAATTAAAATAACTCAGAAGTTCTATCTCATACCCATATGATTGGTAAATATGACAAAAAAAAAGAAAAATGACAATTGTAGGAGGGGCTGAGGGAAAACAAGGATCATGTTGGAGCTATGAATTAGTAAAGGCATTCTGGAAAGTAATTTGGAACTATGACTTCAAAGTCATACCCACATGCAAATTGTACATGCCCTTTGACCCAGTGATACTACTATTGGGCCTATGCCAAAAATATTAAATATGTTCAAAAATATGTGTAGCTGTTCTTTTTATAATGGCAAAGAAATGAAAAGTAAGGGAGTGCCAATTAATTAGGGAATGACTAAACAAATGATGGGATATGAATATAATGGAATACTATTGCACTATATGGAATGATAGAAGGGATGGTTTCAGAAAAACCTGGGAGAACTTGTATGACTGATGCAGAGCGAAATGAGTAGAACCAGGAGAACATCTAAAAATAACAATGATGTAAAGACAAAAAACTCTGCGAGACTTAAGAACTCTGATCAACACAACAACCGATCATGATTACAGAGGACTGATGATGAAGCATATTACATGTCTCCTAACCAAGAAATGGTGATTAAAGATACAAAATGAGACATACATTTTTTGACTTTGCCAATGCAGGAATTTATTTTGTTTGACTATACATCTTTGTTGTAAGAGGTTGGTTTTGCCTTTTCTTATTTTTGGTGGTGGGGTGGGAGGGAAAGAGAATAAATGCTTATTAATTTTAAAAAAATAAATTTGCTTGACCCAGAGATTCCACTGCTTATCACGTACCCTAAGGAAGCCACTGACAAAAAAGTCTCTCTATTTGCCAAATTGTTTATAATAGCTTTTTGTTTTGGTGGTAGCAAAATAGATATCCATGGATTGGGAAATAGCTGAACAAATTGTGGTATTGTACGGTTGGGAATGTAATAGAATATTACTATGAACTCATGCACATGAAATTACAAATATGATAATTAGAGAAAGCATGGAAAGAATTTGATGCCAAGTGAAGTAAGCAGAGCCAGGGAAACATTACGCCCAACAGCTACCACAATGAAAAAATGATGAATCACAAAAAAACCATCCAAAGTGAACGTTGTAAAATCATGACCAAGCTGAGCCTCAAAGAAGAGATGAGAAGACACCGTCCTATAAGGGACCAGATCTGTTCTGCCCTAATTATGCCAATTGTAGGGTGGCATATCCTCTGAGAGAATAGTAAGATATCAGAAAAAGAGGGGCTCATGCCAGCTTGACTATTAAGAGGTTTTGTTAGGATTAATCAGGGGGATTTTACTTATAAGAGGCCAGTTGATCTGGGCAGTAGCAGGACAAAGTAACATCATGGATCCTTGCACCAACCTCAGGCCAAGGCAGATTCGCAGGAACAGAATGAAAAAGACGTAGTGCCACGGATGGCCCAGCATCATGAGCAAGTTTTCCCATGGTATAGTTGGAGCTTCTTTTGCTGTTTCCATTCTCTGCGGAGACTCAAGGTCATGTTTCCAGGCTCTGGACACCATTGTACACTCCCCCAGAAGTCAGGGTTGGCAAGTGTATGGAATATTGGTATTGGAACATCGTATACATTGGACTCTTTTGATGTGTTGCTTGGTTTTCCTGAACTTATGTTTCTTCTCTTTATATTTCTTTTCTTTTAAAAAAAAATTCTTCACTGCAGCCTGTGAAGCCTATCTGCCCTCCTTCCAGTTGGTCTCCTGGGGAACATCAACCATGCAGTTTCAGGAATTCAAGAGTTAGGGCTCAAGTCAGAAACCATCAATTTGTTCTATAAATAGAAGTTAGTTTTTTTGTTTGTTTTTTGTTTTTAGTATTTTTGTTTTTTTTTTCCCCAAGCAAGTAATTTTGGATTCAGAACCGTAGGAGACTATACCTGCAGAGCTCTAAGAGCCAATGACTAAAACTATAGTTTGATTTTTTCACTTAGTCTAAGAAGAAGGCAAGGAGAAAAAGCATGACCATGGGATATGGTAGGATCACTCTTGGAAGCATGATCAATATTCATTATAGTCCTTTAGTTTATAAGCTTTCACTCAGTGGTTCCCATTCTTCTTGGAGATGGGGATTTTGTAATTAAAAATAAGGATAATCCGAATTTGATCTCTAATCTAAGCAAGGGTGGTGATTGGATCTAGTGAAAGCAGATATAAGGGAAAAGCTGTAGTAGGGAAGATACAGATGGGATGGAGTTTCCTACGCTCATCATGAACAGATTCCAGGGGTTGGCAGGAGGAAGGAGATACTAAGAGACAGTGGCCAACAGGGAACATTTTCCTCTATTTCTGTAGTGTTTTGCAGTTGTATTTCTGTAAGTCCTGAATCTTGGTAGTTTATCACCCCATTAATTTCCTTTGTCGGGGCAGCTAGGTGGCGCAGTAGATAGAACACCAGCCCTGAAGTCAGGAGGACCTGAGTTCAAATCTGGGCTCAGACACATAACACTTACTAGCTGTGTGACCCTGGGCAAGTCACTTAACCCCGATTGCCTAAAAATAAAAAAAAAAGTTAAAAAAAAAAGTTTATTGGCTAACTGACATTCCAGCCCAGCTGAGAGGTAATTTCCTTGTAAGCTTTCTTTTTTCTTTTCTCTCCTTTTCTTTTACTCAAGCTTGCTGTCTATATGTTTCTATTTATGATGGAATGCTGACTTCTTGCTCAGCCATTGCACCTAGTTCCTCCCTTCTGTATAGATATAGAGGTATGTGAGTGCTCTTGATGCCAAACAGACCAAAAGACTGCATGAAATATCTGGAAAGACTGCTATAGGATTGAGCCCAAACACGATGTTCCTTTCTAGCCCTGAAAAGCGCCTAATGCTGTCAAGGATGACAAAATTTCCTTCCTCATTGGAGTCAGAGCTGATCCTGAGTCCCCTGATTTTCTTAGTTGCTTGTTTCAATGGTTCTTCATAATATTCTACGTCCTTGCGTGTGCTGACCAGAATAGCGATGTTTTTAGAAGAATAACCCATTTGGAACAATTTTTTGCACTCTTCTGCCACATAGGTCACAATCTGGTGCCTCGTCAAGTTTTCCTTAACGTTACAAAAACCCCGAACCCCTGACGACCAGCAAGCTTCATCCATCATCTTTAAAGATGTTGGGTGGATATCAAATGGAAGATTTGTTTTGATCATTTCCATATGTCGTTTAACAAATGTTGCTATAGGATCTGAATTGCGAACCACTCTTGTGAGTTGTTCTTGAGGGTACTGCTTAGAGAAATGGGGAAGGCCTCTGTCATCTATATGACTGGTCTGAAAATAATCCAAGAAGATCCAGAATGTCCCTGGGGCAACCCCCCTTTTCTGAGTGATCGCTTTGGCCTTCTTGTACCAGGGACCATCTTCCTGGCGAAAATTCTGAGCTTCGTCAATGATAATATGCTTAACTTCCTCAAAGGAGTGTGACTGGAAGCATTTTCGAGTCACGGCTTCACAGATATCTTTCTTTCTGTGGAAAAAAAAGAGGCAGGGGATAGGGGGATAGGGAACAAAATCACCTCTCGCCCTGAAACTATTTTTCTTCACCCTCCATCCTTTGCTTGCTTTGTCCCACACACCTGGCATACATTCTGTGATGTCTACCTATCGAAATCCCTCCTTTAAGATACAGTCCAGTTGGGCCAGCTAGGTGGAGCAGTGGGTGGAGCACCAGCCCTGGAGTCAGGAGGACCTGAGTTCAAATTTGACCTCAGAAACTTATTAGGATGTCACTTAACCTGACTTGCTCAACCCCCTCCCACCAGCTGTCTTCCAACAACTCTCCATCTGTGCCAGTGCAGGAAGGGAACTGATGTGGGTATCAAAAATGCACAAGTGGGTCCCCAACACTTCGAATTTCCTAACACTGTCAGATTGGGCTGTTTTAATTCATCTATCTCCTTTCTCTTTCCTGTACTTCTCCATGAGTTTCAACACACCCAGAAAACAGACAACAGGAGGGGTGAAGAAAGAGAAACCGGGAGGATGGACAATTTAAAATTAGAGAATCAGGCTCTGAACTACCACAGTCACTCCTTGAGATAGACTTTTTTTTTAAAACCATAGGACACGGCCTCAGACCAAACACTTGACACTTACTAGCTATGTGACCCTGGGCAAGTCACTTAACCCCAACTGCCTAAAAAAAATTTTTTTTAAATATTAAAAAAATATAAAACCATAGGATATTAGCTCAGGACAGAGAGTCCTGACATGAGCTCACCTCATGAAATCTTTCAAGGGCTGATTTTCACAGATATAGAGGATCTCCTTTTTCTCACAGTTGAACACATTCCTGATTTTCTCTATGATCTTCATGGCTATAACTGTCTTCCCTGTTCCAGGGAAGCCATGGACAAACAATTTTGGAGTGTTGCGAAGGTTCTTCGAAACCACATTATACTGTTCAATTGTGAGTAGGTTTAGAACCTCATACCCAAGCTGGTCACTTAAAAAGGACCGGAAGCTGAGCAGGACTATCACCAGGGACTGCAGCAGGGTTGTCATTTCCTTGTTCATCACTTTGTAAGATGAAGGGTAAAGAATGGGCGGACCTGAGCTCCCGAGGACCTCTGCAACACTTCTAGAGTTCAGGAGCAGAACCTTGGGAATAACACACACTCTCCCAGTGTAACCACCGGTGTTCACCAGCTTCTGCTTTAACATGAGGGCGGTATGGAGGGAATAGTCCTCTCCATCAGGAGATGGCTCCCTAAGGACTGTATACAGAACCGGGAAGCTGTTAGTGGCTGTTAGAAGAGCGTCACAAAGTACTCGCTGATTCTGCCGCAAGCCGATATCAACCGCCCAGCTTCTGGAAAACATCAGTATTCCTTGGGAACACTCTTCTCTGAACATCTGGTTATTCATTAACTCTTCCAGTCCTTCGTGTTCTGAGAACAATTCCTGGCAAAGGGAATCTGGGTGGTATTTTATCCCCTCTGATGGTACTAGACATGGAAACAATAAGAATAAGTTAGAGAACCTTTCTCAAGCATTTCAAGAGAAATATTAACATTTGAAGCTTTCTCCAGTACCTCCCTCCTCAGCACACACAGTGTCACAAACTGTATGAGTAGTATCACCTTTCCTTCCCATCGCTCTTTAGCTAACCATATATCTAGACATCTAGAAGAGACCACTGAGGCCATTTCATCCAATGCCCTCATTTTATAGATGAAGAACTGAGGCCCAGAGAGGTTAAGGAATTTGCACAAGATCACCCAAGCAATAAGAAGAGCAAGTATTGAACCTACAATTCCTAATACAACATTCTCTTGACTTTAGTTGGCACTGCACAACCTCTAGCATTGGAGAATGAGGTGGGGAGAGCACTCAGTGACCCTCTACCACCTGGAGTGGCTCATTCCACTTTGAGGCAATGGCTTGGGCTGCCATTTTAAATTATATCTGAGGAAAAGGTCCAAGTGTGTAAAGTTCTTTAAAAGTGAAAAGCTATAAGCTATACTGAGGTAGGATGGTGCAGTGGGAAGAGCCCTAGGGCTGGAATAGGATGACATGGGTTTGAGTCCTAACTTAGCCAATGGTTGTGGGAAAACCATTTAGCCATTCTGGGTGTCAGTTTCTTCATCCTTAAAATAGTGGTGTGGTGGGAAGAAGAATAGGAGGAAATAAGCATTTAATAAGTGCCCACTATGTAGCAGGCACTGTGCTAAGCACTTTACAAATAATATCTTACTTGATCTTCCCAACAACCCTGGGAGGTAGGTGCTATTATTAGCCCCATTTTATAGGATAAAATAACTGAGAGAGACAGAGGTTAAATGACTTGCCTAGGGCCACACAATTTGGGAGTGTTTGAGGCCAGATTTTAACTCAGGTCTTCCCAGCTCCAGGTCTAGCAATCTATCCACTGCACCACCTAGTTGCCTGTAGAGGCTTCTGTCTGCCTCAGTTTCCACATCTGTAAAAGGGGGATAATATAACAATGCTTATCTTACAAGGTTGTTGTGAAGATGAAATAATATTTGTAAAAAGCTTTGCAAATCTTAAAGTAATATATAAAGCCTAGTTATCATCATTATTATTGTTATTGTTATCAAGGACAACAATATTTCAGCAGACATTTTTGTGAAACCACACTCAAATAGGGATTCAAAATATACTTTCAATATATCCATGATTTCATAAGCATGAGTATATTCTCTTCATGCAAACAGAATACAATTCCTCCATACCTCAAAAAAAAAATTAGAACCTGGTTAATAAATCTCTCCAAACTTAGCTAGGCTGGTCATTGGCTTATAGATGCCTGATTGGTCATGAGACCCACACTCAAAGCTTTCCATTTGGGTTGGAACTATCAGAATGAGTGCTGGTTCATCCTTTCTTTGCCAACCCAGGATTACCTTCATGCCAGGATTATCTATCAGAGTAGACCATCTTGAGTAGAGGATAAAGGAATTATGATGGATGCCACTATTTCAACAAGAATATTTTTAAAACTTCATAGAATTTAATAGGAACATAGCAACAAATAAATTCTATTTAAATATACCTTTTTAAGGAACATATTCAACATATTCAACTTTTCTTTCCCACACTATCTGTCAAGGTTGGTAACATGCTAGCATTTGAGAAGAATGCCAACTGAGACAGTGTCCAGGGTTCTGATAAATTCATGAGATTTTCATAAGTTTATAGGGGGAAGCTGATGCTCTGGATTCCAACTTTATAAAAAACACCCTCAAGGAGGACAATGACTATAACTCCTGGGGGAAAAAAAACTGTAGTAGACAGAATAATGTTTTGGAAAAGACAATTGGTCTCCTTGCTAGCACAAACGCTCATTAGTATATGGTGGCAATAGTAGGAAAGAACAACCCGAATATTTATGAATTAGGGTACTATTTACATTTCTACTGTGAAGGCTATTCATTTGCTTGCTTTGAGCAAAATGCCTGTCTAGACCAGGAATTGCAACCCGTTTTTGTGTTCCGTGGACCTCTTTGGCAGGCTGTTGACATCTAAGGACCTTTTTAAATTGCATCTAGACAGGAAGGAGGGACAGTGGATAGAGTTCTGGGCCTAGAGCCAGGAAGACCTGAGTTCAAATATCACCTCAGACACTCATTAGTTGTGTGACCCCAGGCAAGTCATTTAAGTTCTTCTGCCTTAGTTTCCTCATATGTAAAATGGGAATAGCACCTACCTCACAGTGTTGTTGTAAGGATCAAATGAGATAATAATTGTAAAGCCTTTGGCATATAGTAAGTACTATATAAGCATTAACTGTTAGCTATTATTATTAAACGCATAAAATAAAGCACATAGGATTGCAAAGGAAACCAATTATATTACATTGAAATAAAGATGTAAACTTTTGCCATTCAAATTCATAAAATTCCTGTAATCTATCCACTGACCCCTTAGGAGTCTGTGGGTCCCAAAGGAAGAATCTCTGGTCTAGAAAAAAAAGTACTCACTAGTAAACAAAAATATATTTGAATTTCCACAAATTAAGTTTGTAGCTTAAGTTGCAATTTAACATCTTGCAATAGAGACTAGTCAGTAAGACTCTTAGGGGATGATAGCAACACTCAAGATAGCAAATTTCTTTTAAATAATTATGTCTCATAATATCAGTGTCAAGAGAAGCCTGATTCATTAATCTGGTGCTATTCAACCTTGTTCTGTGTGAGTAGCCATGTTTTATATAGCTACCACATATATTACATATGGTCAGAGTCGTTGGGCCCAAGAAAAGTTCATTTCAGAACCATTTTTCTGAATGCCCTGAACATCTTGATCCACTCCGGAAGGAGAATTTGAGGTCTTTAAGCGTGGGCCAGTTACCTGGGAACAAACGTTTCTGAAGTGCCTCTTTATGTTCCAAGTTCTTCTTGCAATATACCGGTCTGCTGAGGGGAGGGCAATTGTCCAGGCTCAACTGTGAGTCAAAGTTTTGAGCCAGGAGTGAAAGATCTTAACAAAGACAAAAAAAAAATAAGCATTAGCCCTCTCTTGTCCCTTCCTCAATGAATAACAGAATATCAAGGTTGGAAGGCATCTTAGACCTAACACATCAGGAACAAGCATCCACCCCACAACATACTTTCCAAGTGGTCAGTCAGCTTTTGCTGGAAGACCCCAAGTGAACAAGAATATACAAGCCATCCAACTTCAGGACAGCTCTAGTTCTGAAGCTTTTCCTTAGGTCAAGCAGAAACTGGCTCAGGAGCTTCCACACATTCATCTGGCTCCTGCCCCCTTGAGCTGAGCATAAGGAAGTCTGCTCATCAACTCCCATGGATTCAATTATCTATGCTGATTCATAAATCTACTTATCCAGCCCTAACCTCTCTGCTGCTGTCCTGTTTCACATCTGTAACTGCCTATTAGGTATTCAAACTGGATATCCTGAAGACATCTTAAACCTAACTTATTATTTTCCCCCTAAAACCATCTCCTTCTCCTAACTTTCACATTACTGTTGAGGGTGGGGCCATCACCAGTCATCTTGACTTTTGTCTTGCCACTGGGCTCCAATGACTGGAGGAAAGAGTGAGGCTGAGGATTTTTCGGGAGCTCTGCCTCATTTAAATCTAATTCATGTGCAAGACAAGACATCACTTTATGATTCTCTTTGAGAATGAAGGACAAATAATGTTAAGAGTACCACCATCCTCCTGGTCACTCGGGTTTATAACCTAAGTGTCACCCTTTATTCCTCGTAATCTGTCTGTCTCTCTCTTTTTTTTTTCTTAGTTAGGCAATGGGGTTAAGTGACTTGCCCAGGGTCACACAGCTAGTGAGTGTTATGTGTCTGAGGTCAGATTTGAACTCAGGTCCTCCTGAATCCAGGGCCGGTGCTCTATCCACTGTACCACCTAGCTGCCCCTCCTCATGATCTCTTAACCCCATATTCAATCTGTTGCCAAGGCCTGTTGATTCAACCTTTGTAATATCTCAATTATATGCCCTCTTCTCTCCTCTGACACTGCCACTACCCTGGTACAGGCCCTCATCACCTCACACCCGGACTATTGCAATAGACTGCTGGTGGATCAGCCTGCCTCAAGTCTTTCCCTACTCCACTCCATTCTTCACTCAGTTGCCAAAATTAACTTCCTAAAGTGCATGTCTGACCATGTCACCCTCCCTGTCCCCCCATTCAGTAAACTAGTGGCTCCTTATCATCTCCAGGATTAAATATAAAGTCTGTTTGATGTTCAAAGCCCTCCGCAACCTGGCACCCTCTTACCTTTCCTGTCTTTTTATACTTTATACTCTGCCACATATTTTTCGATCCAGTGACACTGGCTTCCTTGCTGTTTCTTGAACAAGAAAATTCTTCTCCACTCTGCATATTTTCATTGGCTGTTCTCCATGCTTGTGTCTCTCCCCCTCTTCATGGCTACCTCCCAACTTCTTCAAATCCCACCTAAAACCCTGCCTCCTACAGTAAGCCTTTCCTATGCCCCTTAATTCCAGTGCCTTTTTTTCTATTAATTATTCCCACTTAATTCTTGGTATAAGATTAGACCTGAAGATCTCGAGACCACCATGACAGCTTCCCCTTAAGGCAGGCTTAGTAGAACATACTCAGAAAAATACCGACCATAACATTTTTGAAGATTAGTACATCTGTGTCCCCCAAATAATATTTGCTACCACCAGCTTGTTTTTCTTTCTGATGACAAACCCCTAAAACAATATTTTGCCCTGACCCCTGATAGGCAACTCGGCCAGCTCCCAGCTCCCAGGAGACCATCCAAAATCATAGTATAGGAATTCTCCCCTCAGAAGGGCACTTTGGAGCATATCCTCCCCTCCAGCAGGAGAAGCCCTCCCTGCTGGAGCACCCCTTCCTGCTGAATGGACCCATGCCTCTGTGCTCCCCAACACAGCAACATCTTTCCATGAGCTATACTCTATGTTAGTGTGTATACCTGGGTTGTATGTGACTCCCCTTCTCCTCTTCCCTCTTCTCTTTCTTCCTCATTGCTTCCAATAAAGCTTTGCATTGAATTGACTCCCATTGTTTTACATGTAATTCTCAGCACCCAAACTCACTAAGGGGTTATTTCCCCAACATCTCTGGCTGGCTCACAAGCCTTTCCGTAGACATAAACTGGATACAGGGACAATGACTTAACTTATTGACGGCTGCACCTATACCGGGGGAGGAGGGCACTGTGAGCCTGGTTGTAGAAAGCAAGGGTCAATAGGGGAACCCTCCATCATTTCAGAAGGGGCTCCCTTATGCTGAAGGATGGTCTCAAAACAATCCTGTATTCTGGGTTTGTACATAATTGTTTGCATTCTGTGTCACCCATTAGACTATTAATTCCTTGAGAGGGGGAACTGCCTTTTGCCTTTTTTTTATTTCTTCAGAACTTAGCACAGTTCCTGGAACATGGTAGGCATTTAATAAATGTTTATTGACTGACTGACTGGCAAATTATATGGAAAGACATTGGTTTGAACCAATATGGTTTTTATTTCCTTTGTATAACAGCCAGAAACATTGCTTCCAAACAAATGAATCTATTCTAGGCTAGTAAGTGGTGCAGTAGATAGAGTTCTGGACCAGGAGACAAGAAGATCTGAGATCAACTTCTGTCTTACACACTAGCTTGTGACCTTGGACAAGTTACTTAACATCTCTCAGATTCAGTTTTGTCATCTGTGAAATAGGGATAACAGTAGCACCTACTTCCAAGGGTGATTGTGAGGATCAAATAAGAAAACGTATGTAAAGGGCAAACCTTAAAAAAATGTTATGTAACTGCCAGTTATTATTATTATTATTATTCTACCTGCTAACTGGATCAACCTTTATTTCTCTCCTTATTCTTTCTTTGGCTCTGCCAAAAGACATTCTGCTAATGAACACCTTACTATAATTGGGCTCCTCTCATAGGATTTCTGGATGTCTTAACTGAGAAATGGAATTGTATCTGAATCATTTATATTTTGGTCCTAAAGTTTCAATCACTATCTTGAGATTTTTAAGCCCATCTAATGTCGATTATTTACTTAATAAAGGAAGCTATTTTGTTAAGTTTATTTGTTAAGTTTATAATACTTAAATTTATTGTTAAATTTATTAAAATCCAAATGTCAGAGGGGTAACTAGGTGGCACAGTTTATAGAGCTCTGGATGTGGAGTCAGGAGGACTTGAGTTCAAATCTGGCCTCAGACACTTATTAGCTATATGACCCTGAGCAAGTCACTTAATCCCAATTGCCTCAACTAAAAAAAAAATCCAAATGTCAGAAACTGGAAAGCATGGATGACCAGTGCTCTGACTACAGTCTTTTTGTTTACAATGACCCTGCTCTGAGTGTGAACTAAGATATCAAATCTGATTCCCGAAACTTGACTCATCATAGAGGATCCCAACTTCAGGCGAAATTTATAAAAATAACCTCCACCCAAGTTCAAGGCTGTTTTCAGTTCTAAAAGAATAAAGTACAAGCTGGAACCCCGACACTACAAGCCCTCAAGATAGATATTTGTAAATGCTCTCTGAGGCAGATGGGTGGCATATTTAGAGGGCAGATTTGGAGTAAGACCCAGGTTCAAATCCTGCCTCATACATTTACTTAGCACTCATTTAACCATTCTCTGCCTCAGTTTCCTATAAGTTGGGGATAATAGTAGCATCTACCTCATTTGGTTATTGTAGTACTCAAATAAGATGATATTTGTAAAGGGCTTTGTAAACCTTAAAGTCATATGTAAAGATTAGTTATTATTAATTTTACTATTACTGTTCATAGCCCAAGTACAAAAGATTGAAAGAGACAGTGGAGGACCAAAGGGATAATCTGAAAAGGAGGTGAATAGAAGGAAGGGACTCTTTGCTTTTTTCTTACTTGAGTCAGCACCCAACATCATGTCCATCCATTCCTCAGTTGATAATCTGCTTATACGTCCATCCTTCACAATCCATGAAACGGGCTCTTCTAAGAATACCACACAACAAAAAGGTTCCACTCTGACCACAAAGACATAACCACAGAGTTCTCCTTTGTCATATACTTCCAGAAATTTGGTCGTATAGCTTATTGAACACCTGTGGCTGCAGAAGTGGACAAGGGGCAAGCTGTCTATCTTTTGCTTTATTTCTTTTATCAACAAGGATGGGGTCACGTTTTCCAACAAGCTTCCCTCAACTTCCCGACTGCCATCTTTCACACCAATAAAGAGGTAGCCTCCTTCTGTGTTGGCAAAAGCTGAAACGTACTTCGGTATCGTGCATTTTACATAGTCAACAATTTTTTTTGTTGAGAAATTTTTAAATTCGACTAAATTCGATTCAGAAAATGGTAGCACTTCTCCTCTCTCAAGGCGGTCTCTTTGGAATACTTGGACAACAGGGTCCCTCTCCTCAATGTTATGATTCTCAGTCTTTAATACTTTTTTAGGGGGTGGACTTTCTACTCTGGTCACACTTCTATCTTTTTTTTTATTTTTCAGAAAGTTGATGATCGCACTCGGGCTCATCTTTGAACTACTAGTACCGCTCCTTTCGTACAGCATCACACTCTCACTACAAATTCGGGGCATGGTAGAGCTATTCTCAGGGGAAACTCCGTTGCTCCAGGATTTAACGAAAATGAAATAATATCCCCTTTGTGACAGTGCTGCAAAATAGGTTTGAAAATGGAAAGGATCAACTAATTTCCTTAAGGACTCTTCTAAATCCTGTCCCATCTCCATGTTCTCGCAAGGGTCCCATTTGTTGGCCATTTCCATGTAGATCACTCCTCCTCCAGAGTTCAGCAAAGAACATGCAGCAATGGTGATTTTTTCTCTTTCTTGCTTCCTCTGAGGTGATGTCAACTTTTTCCTTTTGTTTTCACCAAGGGTCACTTTTCCTACATTGATAACCAAGTCTGCATATGACGGTGCCACAAAACACTGATGAGCAGGTGGATCCATGTTCTTTCTCTAGGAGAAACAATTAAACTGCAGTCACCTGTTGAATAGAAAGTGTACAGATTACACAGTGAATACAATGATTATCTGACCTAGGGTCTCTTTCCCTGAGGAGTCAGGGCACATGTCTGTTCTCTGCTCTTTCTTACCATGTAAGTGTCTTGCCAAAGAGTCCTATTCCCTGCTTCCCTCCCTCTGCGTCCCTCCTTTCCAAACCAAAAGCAGTCAGACAATCAATAAGCATTTATTAAGCACTTAAAATATGCTAGGCACTGTGCTTAACAATGGGGATACAAAGAAAGGCAAAAACAATGCCTGTCCTCAGGGAGCTCACAGTCTGATTGGGGAGATAACATGCATACAACTATGTACAAATGAAGATGTATACAGGCTAAATTTGAGATCATCTCAGAGTGAAGACACTAAGATTGAGAAGGACTAGGAAAAGTTTCTTTTTTAATATAATGTTTAATTTTTCCCCCATTACATGTTAAAACAATTTTTTAACATTTCCTTTTTTTTAAAGTTTTGAGTTCCAAATTCTATCCCTCCCTCTCTCTCTTCCTTCCCTCCTCCCAGATGGTAAGTAATCTGATATAGATTATACATGTGCAATCATGTAAAACATTTCCATATTGGTCATTTTGTATAAGAAAAAGAAAGGAAGGAAGGAAGGAAGAAAGAAAGGAAGGAAGGAAGAAAGAAAGGAAGGAAGGAAAGAAGGGAGGAAAAGGAAAAAAGGAGGGAAGGAAGGAAAGAGGGGAAAAGTAGCATGCTTTAGTTTATATTCAGACAATATCTGCTCTTTCTTTGGAAGTGGATAGCATGCTTCATCATGAGTCCTTTGGGATTATCTTGGATCATTGTATTGCTGAGAATAATTAAGTCATTCACAGTTTATCATCATACAATATTGTTACTGTGTACAATATTCTCCTGGTTCTGCTCATTTCACTTTGCATCAGTTCATGTAAGTCTTTCCAGGTTTTTCTGAAATCATCCTGCTTTTCATTTTTATAGCACAATAATATTCCATCATAATCATACACCACAGCTTGTTTAGCCTTTCTCCGATTGATGGGCATTCCCTCAATTTCCAATTTCTAACCACTGCAAAAAGAGGTGCTATAAATATTTTTGTACATGCAAGCCCTCCCCCCCCTTTTATGATGTCTTTGGGATAAAGGCCTAACAGTGCTATTTGATGGATCAAAGAATATGCAGTTTTATTACCCTTTGGGCATAGTTCCAAATCTCTATGCAGAATGGTTGGGTCAGTTTACAACACCACCAACATTGCATTGATGTCCCAGTTTTTCCATATTCCCTCCAACATTTATCATTTTCCTTTTTAGTCATATTAGTCAATCTGATAGGTGTAAGGTGGTACCTCAGAGTTGTTTTAATTTTCATTTCTCTAATCAATAGTGATTTAGAGTATTTTTTTATTTTTTTTTTTATTTTTAGGCAATTGGGGTTAAGTGACTTGCCCAGGGTCACACAGCTAGTAAGTGTCAAGTGTTTGGTCAGAGGCCAGATTTGAACTCAGGTCCTCCTGACTTCAGGGCCGGTACTCTATCCACTTTACCACCTAGCTGCCCCTAGAGTATTTTTTAATGTGACTATTAATAGCTTTGACTTCTTTATCTGAAAACTGCCTGTTCATATCTTTTGATCATTTATCAATTGGGAAACGATTTGAATTTTTATAAATTTGACTCAGTTCTCTATATATTTGAGAAATGAGGCCTTTATCAGAGACACTTGTTGCAAAAATTTTTTGAGAAAGACTTCTTGAAGAAGTGGGACTTTAGTTGAGGTTTGAAGGAAGCCAGAGAAACCAGGAGGAAGAGATGAAGAGGGAAAGCATTCCAGGAATGGAAGACATCCAGTGAAGATATCTGGAGTCAGGAGATGAAGTATTTTGTTTGAAGAACAGCAAGGTCAGTGTAACAGATTGTAGAGTTTGTGATGAGGAGGAAGGTGTAAGAAGAATGGAAAGGTAGGAGAGGGCTAGGTCATGAAAGGCTTTAAACACCAAACTGAGGACTTTAGATTTGATCCTGGAGGTGACAGGGAGCCAAAGGAGTTTGTTGAATGGAAGATTGGGGTAAGGGAGATGACATGGTCAGATCTTCACTTTAGGCAGATCACTGATAGCTGAGTGGAGGATGCACTGGAGTAGAAAGAGACTTGTGCTAAGGAGACTAATTAGCAGGCTATTGTCATAGTCCAGGCATGAGATGATGAGGGCTCATACCAGGATGGTGGTAGTATCAAGGAAGAAAAGGAAGTAGAGAAGAGAGATGTTACCAAGATAGGACTGACAGGACTTGGCAACAGGTCAGATATGGGTGGTGAAAGTAAAAGAGGATAAGAGTTGAGGATAACACCTAGGTTGCAAGCTTGGGTGACCTGGAGTATAGTGAAGGGGAGAAGATATTGGGGAAAAGATAATGAATTGAATTTTGTACATGTTGAGTTTCAAATGTTGATAAGATATCCAACTGAAGAGGTCTGAAGGACAGTTGGAGATGCAAGCTTGGAGGCCAACAGGAGGTCAACAGAGACAAGTAGATCTGAGAATCATAAGCATAGAGGCGATAAATTGAATCCATAGGAGCTGATGAGATTATCAAGTAAAAGAGCATAGAGGGAGAAAGAGATCATAAAAATGGGAAAAGGACCCACATGTACAAAGAAATGTTTATAGCAGCTCTTTTTGTGGTGGCTGTAATGGAAAGTATTACAGACTGCGCAGTACTTTCACTTTAGGTTCAGATCTCAAGATATAATGACATATACTCAGTAGAAACTTAACAATCACATTTATTTTACAATGATTAATAATGATTAAGGCAACATAAGTACATAAAGATAAGAATAACATTCAATGCAATAAGTAATAATCAAAATTAAAAAAAAGAGGAAGAAGAAAAGAAAAGGTACACACTCACTGACCAGGCAAGCTCAAATACCTACAAGACCGGGGAGACTGGAGACGATCAAGAGGTCTGATCAGGAGGCCAAAGGAGCAGCGTCCTGCTCCTGAACAACAACAAGGGTCACGCACAAGTTCCGCCCTTGAACAACAACAGAGATTTGGTGTCCCTATCTCCGACATCAAAGTACTCCAAAAAATCCCCTTTCAGATGCCCCTTTTATATCTATGTAAACCAGGGAAAAACAATCTTAGTATTTTGTTTCGTGTACATATCCTTGGTGAGTGCTCAGATTCTGGATACGCACACATTTTAACAAAGGTTGGGGCTTGATCAGAGCCCCAAATACCTGTTTGTTGTATAAATCTCCAAGGAGGGATCAAGTCCTTGGAGAGTTACACACCTCTCTCAAGAAAAATATTCCTTGAGATAAGAATTGCTTTCCCGGGTAACATAGTTTGTTGGTTACTTAATGTTTCATGTCCATGGTACCCTCGGCCATGCATAACTCCAATTTATATTCTTTATGTCAGGTCATGAGGCGGTTACACGAGGGGCTGGGGAAGATCTTCCTCAGTTTCTCTCACAGTGGCAAAGAATTTGAAATGGAGGGGAAGCCTATCAATTTGGGAATGGCTGAACAAGTTGTGGTATATGAATGTAATGGAATACTATTGTGCTATAAGAAATGATGAGCAGATGGACTTCAGAAAAACCTGGAAAGACATAAATGAACTGATGCTGAGTGAAGTGAGCAGAACCAGAAGAACATCGTACAGCAACAGCAACATTGTGCAATGATTAACTATGATAGACTTAGCTCTTCTCAGCAATACAATGACCCAAGACAATTCCAAAAGACCCGTGATGGTAAATGCTAACCACATCCAGAGAAAGAACTAAGGAGTCTGAATGCAGATTGAAACATTCTATTTTTACTTTTTTGTTTTTTTTTCTTTCTCATGGTTTTTTCCCTTTTGTTCTGATTCTTCTTTCATAACATGACTAATGTGGAAATATATTTACCATGATTGTACATGTATAACCTATATCAGATTGCTTGCTGTCTTGGAGAGGGGGGAGGGAAGAGACGGAGGGAGAAAAATTTGGAACTCAAAATCTTACAAAAAGAAATGTTGAAAACTATGTTTATATGTAACTGGGAAAAAAAGTAAAATACTATTAAGTTCAAAAAAAGAACATAGAAGGAAAAGAAAAGTGGGCCCAAGACAGAAATCTGGGGGACACCATCAAAGATTTAGCAAAGGAGACTGAGAAAGATCAGTCAGAAGAACTAAGAGAGAATAGTATCCCAAAAACCTAGAGAGAAGACAGTATCAAGGAGGAGAGGGTGATTAACAGTGTCAAAGGCCACAAAGATGTGAAGAAGGATGAAGATAGAAAAAAATGCCTTTAGATTTGACAGTTAAGAGATAACTATTAAATTTAAAGAGAGCAATTTTGTTTGAATTATGAGGTCCAAAGCCAAATTGTAGAGTTAAGAAGAAAGGATGTAGAGCCATTAGTTATAGAAAGCCTTCTCAAGTGGTTAAGCCATAAAAGGGAGGAGAGATATGGGAAGATAACCATGATGATGAACAGATCAAGCAAGGATATGGGAGCAAAGGCATGTTTGTAGGCAGTAGGAAAGAAGTGAGTAGACAAAAAGAGATTGAAGATGAGTGAGAGAGTGGGGATGCTAGAAAGAGTAATCTCCTGGGGAAGACAGGATGGAATAGGACTACTTGTACATGGAAGGAGCTTTGCCTTGGCAAGGAGAAAGCATATCTTGCCCTATGAGCCAGGGGTGAAGGAGAAGATAGTTGCAGAAGGCATCTGGAGATAGGAGATTAGGAGGAAGGGAGAGAAGGGAACATTCAAAGAATGTCCTCAATTTTTTCAGTGAAATATGAGACAAAGTTCTCAGCTGAGAAGGTGGGGAGAAGAAGAGCCATGGGAGGTTTGAGGAAGGTTGAAAAGGTGTGGAAGAGCCAGTATGGAGAGCGACTTGATAAGGGAGATATGGAAAGATTTCCTAGCAGTAGTGAGGACCCAAATACGGTTATGTAACATAAATTTCTAGTAGACCCAGTCAGAA